AAAAAAATGCTGGATTTTTCTCTCATTTAAATGGCTTAGTGTTTGTCATACCACATTTAATCTATATGGATGACTTTTTTTCAAAATATTGATTCTCCCTAAATCATATGTAGGGAATGTTGAGACAAATGAGGATAAATGAATTTATAGTGTTGAAACCAATGAAGAAGGCTGGTGAGCAGATACATAATCAAAATTATGCTTTAATCAATGCACCGTGAAATATAATAACTAGGTAGTTTATAAAAGAGGAAGATGGAGGTAGCAAAACTAAAAAAAATGAACCTGGGGAAAAGTAATGAAGAATACAAATGAAAAGAATGATATAAGATTTTTAAAGTAAAACTAAATCTTGACTTTGAAAACCATCTCTGCTAAAAATGAAACAGGATCAACTTTTCTCCTGACTTTATAATAATGCACATTAAGAAAAAAATCTAAAGGGGCTGGATTTTGGCTCAGTGGTAGAGCGCTCACCTCACATGTGCGAGGCCCTGAGTTCAATCCTCAGCACCACATAAAAATAAATAAATACAATAAAATAAAGGTATTGTGTCCAACTACAACTAAAAAATAATTAAAAACCAAATCTAGAGCTTATTCCAATGAATAGTTAGGAAGTACCTTCATCAGATAGGCTTATTGGAAGCTTAGGCATTTCAGTGTTAAGGTTCCCAAACCTGAGCTGGTTATTGTTGATAGGCCCAGTCTTTTCAAAATATTTACTCCTATGTAGAGTAAAACTGCATTATGTTCTGCTTTGAACTGTATATGATGTCCAAACTTTCAAATATAAATCAATAAATATGTATATAAAACAAAATTATAGTTTTTAATGTTAAGTTTTTTAAAAGTTTAGTCGTATTCTAATATTTTATGCTTAGGTTGTTTTTTAAAAAAAATTTTGGATAAGGAAATGTATGTCTTCAAGAATCACTCATATTAAAGTGAATTTTTTTAAACAGTTACCCTTTAATTCAAAATAACTTTTTTTGTTTTAAATCTTCCATAAGTCTATTGTTTTAACTCACTGGACAGAGCTCTAAGCCTTTGGGTAAGAAAGTGAGAAATCAAAGTATGAAACGTAGGATCACGGAAGAAACAGTAGCACAGTAGAGGGAAATATCAATGGAATATTTAAAAATACATCTATGGACTAGAAGGACTGTTGTAAAGTTCAAATAGGAAAAAAAACAGGTTTCAAAATGTATTACTTGACAATGAAAAAGAAATAATAAACTAATAAGACATCTAAGATACAAAGGAAGACAAGCCATTTGTTAGTTCCTAAACTCATTTTGCGAAACACTTTTTAAAGTTTCTTCAAATTCACTTCCTAGCACAGTTACTTCATTATTTAATTCTCCACTATTATCAACATCCCCAACAGAACACAGAAAGCCCCCAATTGATACCTAGTAATACATTAGCACTGATTTTTTTAAACCAATGATTAGTGGAAGCACTTGAGAGAGGAATTGGCTCTCTAAAGACAGGTGCATCAAACAGATTTTCTTTACCAGAGTTATTACAATCAGTATAACCACGTCTTGCACTTCCACAAAAACAATGAGACTGAATCATCTGAAATTGACATTTTTCAGTAATTCAAAATGACTAAAAACTGGAATTTAATATGATTTCTTGTAGCATACATTTCTATTTTTAACTTTTGTATCAAGTTTTATTTGAAATAAGAGTCCCACAAATAAATTTTAAAATAATAATAAGAATAATTATCATCATCATTATCATCATCATCATCATCCCTATCCTACATACAACATCTCAACCAAATGAGTTAAAAATTTTCTACCAGAACTATGTATACCCCTTTTAACATTCAGAGTTAAAAAGGGTTTTATATCTCATCTATACATACTATTTTTTCAAAGGAATAAGATTTTAGATAGGTGGAAAAGCATTTGTGGTAGTTAAGATTTGAACATAAACAAGGTAGGTATACAAGCTGAAAACATATTTGCAGAAGCCTAAACCCAGATGTGGTTCCTACTCAGTGCCACAGATAGACTGAGTCCTCTTTTAGGTCACAATTATGCAGTAATTTTGGTTCACAGAATTTTATATTAAATTATTTGAATGTATACAAACCTAAATTTAAAAATCTGTACATATTTAATATTATATCTGTATTTTTGGTAACAGGGATTATTGTTTTGTTGTTGTTGTTGTTTTTCCTCTTTCTGGTCCCAGGATTAAACTTAGGGGGCACTTAATCACTGAGTCACATCCCCAGTCCATTTTATTTCTTATTTTAGGATAGGGTCTCGCTAAGTTGCTTAGGGTCTCATTAAGTTACAGAGGCTGGCTTTGAATTTG